AATTCCTCAAGGATCTAGAACCAGAAATACCATTTGACCCAGCAATCTCATTACTGGGTATATACCCAAAGGATTATAAATCATTCTACTATAAAGATACATGCACACCTATGTTTATTGGAGCACTATTCACAATAGCAAAGACTTGCAACCAACCCAAATGCCCATCAATGACAGACTGGATAAAGACAATGTGGCGCATATGCACCATGAAATACTGTGCAACCATACAAAAGGATGAGTTCATGTCCTTTGCAGGGTCATGGATGAGGCTGGAAACCATCATTCTCAGCAAACTAACACAGGAACAGAAAACCAAACACCACATGTTCTCACTCAAAAGTGGGAGTTGAACAGTGAGAACACATGGACACAGGGAGGGGAACATCACACACCAAGGCCTGTTGGGGGTGGTGGGCTAGGGGAGGGATAGCATTAGGAGAAATACCTAATATAGGTGACAGGTTGATGGGTGCAGTAAACCACCATGGCACGTGTATACAAAAAAAAAAAAAAAATCCCTAGCAACTGAGAAAATAAGATAATCATTAACTCCAAGAAAAATAAAATGTCATAAACAAAAGGAAATATAATCATAGGTTATTTCCTGGCTGGCTGTAATATACCTAAGTGGTCATAAGAAGGTAAATATTGAATTTTGATCTAACTAAAACTTATAGCTATATTAGGGGAGTGACAAAGGAGGGAAGTTTGAGGGGAGGGTAGAAAAGAGGTAAGAGAACTAAAAGATATCCTTATCTTCCATAATAGGAAGTTAATAGGGAAGGTCTAAAACAGAAAGTTTAGGAAATAGCAGTATAAGCATGTTACTTAGAAATAGGGAGATCAATACCAATAGAAATAGCCAATGAATGCAAAGCATCTCTGGGGAGCAGAAAATCAGGAATGAGGAAGTGGTGCATAAAACTGTTGCTTCTTATTGTAATCCTTATAGTACTCTTTAACTTTTTAAACTATATGTTTTTGGAACTTTTATAAAATAACTAAATGTTTTAAAAGTAACAGGCAATGGAATTCAGGTTGTGACTAACTTCACAGCTGGCTTTAGTCATCTAAAGCAGGTCCATAATGAGCCAGTCTCTGTCGAGTTTGAATGCTGACACTTTGGAGTTGGTTTAAGCTGATGGGTTTTGTTTCAACTCTGTGAAACTATCAAAGAGCTGGATGATGCACAGATGGTTAATCTCTAATTTCAGGATTTTTAAACTTAGTAACATTGTTTTTGTATACGTTTTTAAAGTTTCTGATACCCTCCTTAGTCTTTGAGTTTTCATTTCTGTTATCATCTTTTCCATCTCTTTCAACTCCAAATATTTCCTTTAAATATTTGGAGTTTTAAAGCAACTCCAAATATTTAAGAGGGCTTTTTAAATTTGATCTCTGTTCCAAAGGTGGAATTATTCTCTAAGCTCTCAGCACTTTGTCAGTTTCCCAGAACAGGCCCAAGACTTTTCAGCACTGGGAATCAAAGCAAGCAAATGTTTATGGATTTTCCTGAAAGCAGAATAAAGAAAACCAGGATAATAGAGAGCAATAACCGACAGCAATGAAAATCCAGCACAAAAGAATTTCTGCATTGCACCTAAGTAGTTACATTTATTTAGATGCTGCTTATGAATTATCATTTTGTATATATTAATTATTCAGACTATTTTAATACAGGATTTTGATCAGGAGAGTGTGACTAGACTAGCAGCTTTCAATAACCTGAAAAGCTTTTTAAAATCCTGATGCCTAGGTCCCACTCCCAGAGATTCTGATGTAATCGGTTGGCATGCAGTGTGGGAATAGGAATTTTTTTAAACTCACGTTAGTCTAACATGCAGCAATAATTGACTACTACTGAACTGGATCATGTCCCAGGTGTTCTCTCTCAGTTAAAGCAGCTGAGAAAAGTCTAACTCCATAACCATAATCCAGGCACTAAATTCACCTGACAAGTGCCCATATGGCATATGAATTCCTGGAGGAAATAACCAGTGGCTCTTGCAAAAACCTTAAACTGGTAGCAATTGTCACACAGCCATCCCTTAATGTCCATCGAACACTAGGTTCCCAAGATGATGTGTCAAGGGCAGCATGGATGGCTGGTAACTCTCCCTCATTATGGCTTCCCTCTGCCTGGGTAATGCTCATTTCTTGTTGAGCAGCTTACTGGAATGACAACATTGCCCATTTTAGAGCCACTCTAATTGCCCATGCAACCAACTTCCCTGTACTTTTTAATCAAAGAATTGGATAGTCCAATCATAGTTAATTCTAAATCCTTTTGTTCTGGTCCCTAGCATATTGGATGAACAAAGGTTTTATGTAGCTCATTTCCTCTGTGGGATTGGAGGATGCCATGTGAGCATATGTGAAACTGCTCTTCACCAACTTCAATGGTGTCTGCCCCCCTTGGATAGGCATGTGTTTGGAGAGGATGAATCCGAGCCCCACAGCTGAGACCTGAGATTAGTGATTGCAGTCAGCAGTTGGTGCCTAATTAGTGAAGCAGGTAAGGGGACTGTTGAAAGGGGTGCCTGCTGAACCAAAAGCCACAGTTGAGACTGGGCTGCAGAGAGTATTTCTAAACAGCAGACAGCAGGAAGTAGGCTGATCTGGAGCTCAGGTAGAAGAGGGAGCCAGGCTGACATAGGGCTATGCTGGCCTGAGTCCCAGAACAGAATCACCACTGGACCTCTTAGGAAGGCAGGGCTGAGCTCAGGGAGTAGGAGAAGGGGCCAGAGAGGGAAGAATGCCATCATCATCTTCCTACAGATGATCAGTGCTCCAGTCTAATTGCTAGAGAAGTAGAGTGAAGGTGGGGAAGAAGACCCACGGAACATCACTGGGGCCATCATTTCAGGGCCAGAGGCCTCTAAGAGCAAGGAGAGAGCCCTTGTGAAATACCAAGTCCTAAACCAAAGCCACCTACCCCAGCCGCAGTCTGCAGTTCCTGATGCTGTGCATACCTGGACAGTATGTCCTCAGCTGCTCTCTACTCAGCTTGAGTGTATTCAGGTCACTGTGCATGTGCTCAGCTCAGACCTGAGCAACAGGGAGCACACTCAGACTACCCGCTGAGTCTGGGCCTGGTAGAGGCAAGGAACCATCAGTGGATAATGACTGTAATCAGAACTTAAGTGGAAACAGAAGGACGTGCCTATTCAGCCCTTTGAAGGCTGGACTCATTTCAAGTTTTCCTTGTTATATTGAAGAACCAACATTTTTGAGCTAATATATGAGTAGAAACATGGATGCAAACTTCATCCTAATTATTAATGAGAAATGCAGATTATCCTCTTTCCTATATTTAAAATAATCCTGATCTACGTGTATTGGAAAGTCAGACCCCTTCCTCCTAAACCATTCCCTTTATGCACTAAACCCCTTGAGCAAGGCCAAAAGCTCTGGAAAAATACTGACCTTTCTTCTAGGCTCTAAGTGTTGAGAAATCTCTACAAATCTGCAATAGAAATTCAACAGAACCACAGAGCTATGAGCTGTTAGACCTTAGTTCATCAAACATTTACTGAGCACCTACTTTACACCAGCACTGAGGATACACAAATAAATCAGATCTAGTGTCTGCTTCTGTAAGCTCTCAGAGAGGGAAATATGCATGAACAGATGATTTTAATACAATACAATGTATGCAAACCACAGAGGTATGAATACATAATGGGGAGACTGGCCTACATTAGAAAGGGAGGAGAGAAATGAGCAAAGGCCTCAAGGAAGAAGTGGTGCTTGAGCCTAAGAACGAAGAAAGAATACAATAAAGGTTGAAATATTCACTGTTATATATTAAAATGAGAATAAGGTGATTCATTTTAGAGCATCGTGGAAAAATAACAGTTGGGAAAGAACACTTCTCTCACCCCAGCTCAATAACTACCTGAACAGAGAAAAAAAATGGTGAAAGATTTGGAAGGAGAGGTAACATCAGACACCATACAAAAATGACTCGCTCTTTACCAGTGATGACAGGAAGGGTGACATCAGCACAAATGAGAGATTTTTACAGACCAAACAGGGCTAACTCATGTCTGAGGAACTACAGCAAAATAAGAGCTGTCGAGGCTTGGGAGTGGGGACCTGTGAAATAGCATTACGAGCAGGAAGATGTAGGCTGCAGATGAGTTAACATGAGTCTCCAGGACCCCACAAGGGAAGAGAGCCTGAGACACAGTCAATCCACTGCTTATGCTGTGGCGCAGGGGAAGAAGGAACACGCTGGGAGCAAACAAGTTTTCTTACTAGTGTTGTGGCTATGAAATTAAGCCCACAGCTCAAGCACACAAGAAATAGAACTTCAGTGCACATTGTATGCACCTGTCAAAATATCACATGTACCCCATAAATATGAATAATTATTATGTATCAATTAAAAAGTAGCTTTATTGAGATATTTATATACAATAAATTCATTTGTTTAAAAAAAGTAGGAATTTGCTTTGCTATTACAATTTATTTTTAAGCTCCATTCCACTGAGGTTCCCTTCTTTTTCCCAGAGTTACAGAGGACCAAGGCATTGGAATAGGGGTGGCAATCTGCTTTTCTGTTATTATCTACCCACTCTGATATAAGTTCAGATGTCCTGTCACTTCTCATTCCCAGCTATAAACCCTATTCACGTTCTATCTGCCCGGCCACTTTCATACTTCTCTCTGGTGACTAGGAATTCATTCTGTGCCTCCCACATCATGCTGAGCCACAGGAAACTGTGGCACTGTCCAATGCCCTGTGATGTCACAACAGGCTGGCCAAGGGAAACATATGACCAAGACACACAACCCAGTCATTCCTTCTCTCTGGTCTGGCTACTTCTCTGGGGCTCCAGAATGAAACAAAGACAGTGACCCCGGTGAAATGAACTGTGTTCAACTCAATACTGGATCTCAGTGATTATAGCTAGGAAGGTGCATCTGTGAGGATGCCTTCAGATATAAGAGTATTAGTTATCTTCTGCAACATAACAAATTACCCCCAAAACTTAATGGCTTAAAACAATAAACATTTATTTTCGCACATTTTCTGCAAGTCAGGAATTTAGGTGTGGCTTAGCTTGGTGGTGCTGGCTCAGGTTCCTTCGTGGGGTTGCAGTCAAGATGTCAGCGGGGGCCATGGTTATTAGAAAGCTTGTCTGGAGTTGGAGAACTTGCTTCCAAGATGGCACATTCACATACCTGACAAGTCAGTGCTGACTGTTGGCAGAAGTCCTCTGTTCCTTACCACATGGACCTCTTCATAGGGCTGTTTGAGTGCCCTCATGACACAGGAGCTGACTTCCTCAAGAGTGAGTGATCCAATAGAGAAAGCAAGGAGGAAGACACAATGCCTTCGTGTCCTAATCTCAGAAGTCACTCACTGTCACTCCTGCCACATTCTCTATGCTTTATAAAAAAATCACGAAGACAAGCCCACACTAACGGTAGGGGAAAATTAGGCTCCACTTTTTTAAAGGAGGAATATGAAAAGAAAAAATGTATAGTCATATGTGAAAACCACAACATAAGAGGACAAAATAACTCAAATGGGTTTGAAACACGAGGATATATGGACTTACCTCACTAGAATCCAGAAATAGAGCAAATATCAGGATATTGATTGACCTAATGGCTTGCTGAAGTCATCAAGGAACCAGGATCTTTCTGATTCTTTGCTCTTTTATCCAAAGGGTCATTTGAAGCTGACTCTCCTCATGGTCACAGGATGGCTGCCAGGCACTGAGGGTAATGTGCTTCCTTGTTCATATCTAGCCAGAGAAAGGATGAACTCCTTTGATCACACAACAGAACTCCCCTGTGATCTGGGGAGAATCATGTGCTAATTGGCTTAGACCTGGTCTATCTGTGCATTGGCACTGTGGCAAGGGGGTAGAACTATCTGACTGGCTTAGACTTGGACCTTAGGGTTGCTCATTCCCTCCCAAATCACAAAGTTTACACAAAGAGTGAGGGAGAATGTGGATACTGAAGAAGAATACAATGTTCACCACAAAAATAGCTAGGCGAACAAGCTGCTGATTCTAGGAGAACTAACACTAACAGCCAGGGCTCACCCCCCTGAAGTTGGACGTCACCACTCTCCATCATCTTCCCCCTCAACCCCACTCAAGGCCCAGACAGCCCAGCAAGTGAAGATGTAGCTGGACCAACAAGCTTCTCGTTGGGGAGGCAAATAGTGTGTGAATATATCAGTCACCTTCGGTTCCATCACTTGAATCAACTGAGATCCCAAGAGCTCAGACTCAAGGGATTGGAACTTAGATTGGAAGGGAGATAGCGTAAAGGAATGGGAAAGTGGAAAGGAGAGGGGGATGTTGAGTAGCGCAGGCCATTCTAAGCAACCCCCAGTTTTCCCCCAAGCCCCACACACAGCCTCCCTCTCTAATGGTATCATGGCCATGATGAGATGGCCCAATTCACATGGGTCCTATGCCTCAAAGCATCAGGTACACACAGAAAAGAGGCTTACTATGTTGGGTCCTGTATTAAGTTTCCTAGGCTGCTGTAATAAAGTGTCACAAACCGAGTAGCTTAAAACAAGTATTGTCCCACGGTTCTAGAGGCTAGCAGGATGAAATCAAGGTGTTGAGGGGGTGGTGTTTCCTCTGAGACCCTGGTAAAATACTTCCTGGCCTCTTCTTAGCTGTCGGTGGCGGTCAGCAATCCTCGTCATTACTTGGCTTGCATGTGCACCACTCCAATCTCTGTGTCTGTCATCATACAACATTCTCCCTATGCGTCCCTGTCTTTACATGGTGTTTTTCTTTTCTTATAAGGACACCAGTCATATTGGATTAGGGCCACCTTAATGATTTCATCTTAACTTTATTCTATCTGCAAAGACCCTATGGCCAAATAAAGTCACTTTCTCCAATACCCAGGGTTGAAACTAAAATATATCTTTTGTGGGGATACAATGTAACCCACAACAGACTCCTTTCATTAGTTCTTCCTCCAGTGCTTTTGGTAATAGCTGCTGAGCAACTGCAGTTCTTTCCTTTAAAGAGTAGCCTATATTTCCCAGTCTAATCATCCTTCATGGATTTGGAAGGTAAAGCCAGGGCAATGTCCTGTCTGCTGGTCCTTCAAGAATATAACACACTGGCTCACCAATGGCTGCAAGGTTGGTGATTTCTCTGTTAAATTAGCCTGTGTACAGAGTGCTCAGCCTGCTTAATGCCTTCCTGAACCAGGGAGATGTACTGAAGCAGCATTTAGGTTCTGGCCATATAAACCTAACCTCACTCTCCTCTCAGGGCCTTAGTTTCCTCATCTGTAAAATCTAGAGAGGCTTCTAGTATCTAACAGTGACTGTAAAGTGGCCACATCTGGCCCAAATCAGATACACATCGAAATTCACAATTAATGCACAGCCTAATTAATTGTTTTCCTAATTAATTGAGGTGGGTTTCCCTTGAGACCTACAGAAAGGCTCATTAGAGCTATTAAAGCATCCCCCTGGAGACAGTATGGATTTTAATATGCAGATTCCAAAGTTAGATAATAAAGAAGCTACCGCTCTTCTCTTCCCAGGAGCCAGTGCTTTGTGTTCATACGAATGTCTGGACACCCACAAAGACATCCCTTGACACACACATAAGAAATCACGAAGGGTGAGAGCAAGCAGGGCAAAATGTCGGAACTACAGGAGAGTTGGGGTTGTTCACTCTGCAGTCACTCAGCAGCCAGTGTTCTCTTGGCTTCAGTTTGGCAACTGCACAAGTACTAAACAGCTTTCCCTATGGAAGGAAAAAAAGAATCTCTGGCCCTGCAGGACTGAACCAACACAGCTATACAGGCCTGCAAGAGTCAGCAGGGCCATCCAAGGACTATATCCAAAGGCCATGGGTCCTTTGGGCAGCCATATTGAATTCAGCATCAGCAATGGGCTCATTCAGTAAGGTCCGGCTGAGGGCTTAGGACCAAGAGCACAGGACCAAGCTCTCTAAGGAAGAAGCCCCGGAGGACTAGGCAGTCTGATTCACACCAGAGCAGGGCTTCCAGCCAAGCCTGTAACCTCCTCACACAGCAAAGAACCTAATGGGGTAAATGCTAATTGAATGAAGGGGACAGACAGACAGAAGTCAGAGGTAGCAGTGGAGGAGATGGGGAGAAAGGGAGAAAAAGCAGCAGAAGAAGAAAAAGAAGGGGAAGGAGAAGCAGAAGGAGGAGGAAGATGATGAGGAAGAGGAAGGGGAAGGAGGTGGGAAGGGGAAAGGAGAGGAGAAGCCCAGTGATAAGCAGCAAGCCATATGGCCGGGGCCAAGATCCTTTGCCTTGGTGGGCTCTGGAGATGCAAGGCTCCCCCCGGCATGTGAAATCTCAAGCCCCTGATTAGCAATTACAGACTCACCCACTGGTGGGCCATGGTCTCCAGTGGTCTCCTTGCCCCTGGTTCAGGTGGGCTCAGAGTCCAGGTAGGGCTAGAGGACAGCAACAGACCCTGAACTGTGCATGTGTCAACCTTTTCCTCAGGGTCTTCTAGAAAAGGCACTCCTGACTCACCCTCCCTCCAACCAATCTTTCCCACAGCCTCTTGCAACCAAATGAACACATCTGTTGGTAAAAGGCAATGTAGTAAGAGAACAAGATCTGGACCCAGGTGGTTGGGCTTGAACCCTGGTCCTGCCATTCACCAGCTTTTCATCACTGGACAAATGACACAATCAACGTAAGTCACTATTTCTTCATTTGTAAAATGGAGAAAATGGTAATATCTGCTTCCCAGGGTTCTTGTGAAGAATAAATGAGATAATGTATGTAAGTAGTGTAAACTGTGTGTGTGTGTGTGTGTAATGCTTATTGTGCTTATCGTGTGTCAGGCACTATGTTAGTCATTACACTGACATACAATGCATATATATGTATGTATCCCATTGCTCTTATACAAAAATGATTACGGCTTCTGAGTGAAGTGAATATTGTCTACAGGACAGAATCCAAAGTCAATCTTAAAGCCTCTTAATTTGGCAGTTAAAATTCCATGCAGCCCCCAATGGCAATGCTTCTACATCTTGAAACTGGAAACTCAGATTGCAAGTGGCCTCTTTTTCCAGGTCAAAGGAGGCTGCTCCTCTTAATAACCATCCTGGAAAAACACATCATCTGAGAAAAGGTGCCCTCACTGCCTCGCTCCTTGTCCCCAACTAATCAGTTTCCTGCTTTTGCCCTGGGAGACTGATTATTGCCCTCCTGCTCACTGGGAGGTTGTAGGTAGGGGACATGACAGTCAGGGAGGCCTCTGCTCGCATCCTCTCTACTCACCAGTGAAACAGAAAGGGATGTCAAAAGAGCACTTCCCCTTGCAGAGCTTGGACTGCTCCAGGAATGTGCTGCTTAGAGGCCTGTCTTGGCGTCCTTATTGACTGAGGAAAGCAACATCTGTTGGCACAAAACAAGAGCTCTTAACTGTCTTGTTAAAATCAGAGCTCCTCAACCGGCTCCCACTGGGTAATTTTTCTGGGTTAATAGTTGGGCCACAGAGCTGAGAGACAGGGAGAGATAATAGCCCTTGGTGCCTCTTAAAGCCATCTATATGTCTTGCCTTTGCCATTAAGCCATTCCAGCTTTTCCCAGGTTTTGTTCCCCAGGCTTCCCACAGATGGCCTTGTTCAGCGTCTTTTTTTTTTTTTTTTTTTTTTTTTTTTTTTGAGACGGAGTCTCGCTGTGTCTCCCAGGCTGGAGTGCAGTGGCGTGATCTCGGCTCACTGCAAGCTCTGCCTCCCGGGTTCACGCCATTCTCCCGCCTCAGCCTCCCAAGTAGCTGAGACTACAGGCGCCCGCCACCACGCCCGGCTAGTTTTTTGTATTTTTAGTAGCGACGGGGTTTCACCATGTTAGCCAGGATAGTCTTGATCTCCTGACCTCGTGATCCACCCGCCTCGGCCTCCCAAAGTGCTGGGATTACAGGCTTGAGCCACCGCGTCTTTTTAATCTCTATTGCATCACAATCACCTGGGGAACTTTGGTAAAACAAGAAGACTGAGCTCCACCTGGACTAACTGAACCAGAATCACTTGGGTATGGAACTCAGGGAATCTGTGCTTCTTAAAAGCTCATGGGGTAATTCTGATGCACAGTGAGGGTGGAGAACCACAGTTCCAGACAGTTTTCCATAGGTTTGCTGGGCCTGTCTGAAAGAAAGTGGCTGCTACTTAGAAAACTGTTCCCACCCCATACCCTATGCATATGCACACACACAATCTCTCAAGTATCAGCGTTGTAGTGTGGTATAACTGAGTCATGAGCATGAGCCCCTTTTACAACCTGCCCACCCAGGTAAGCTCAGGTCATGAGAGCAGTAACTACCACATGTGCAGGTCTTCACTGCTTACCAAGCTTTCTTCAGAGATGTGAGTGTCTTTGATCTTCTCAGCTGCCTGGGGAGTAGTAATTATTATTACCACTCTACAGACGAGAAACTTGAGGCCTGTGGTAGGCAGAATAATGACACCAAAGATATTCACATCCTAATTCTCAGAACTTGATGGTTCTGAAAATTAATATAAACCCTTTGAAAAACATTTTGTGTAAAAGCCTTTGATCCAGTGACTCCACATTCAGGAGCCTATCCCAAGGAAAAATTTACAAATACAAACATAAAAATCCTTATGAGCAAAAGTATTTATCATAGTTATTTATATTTAAAAATTAAAATGATTTACATTTCCAAAATTAACGGAAGGCTTAGGTAAAATATGATACAGTCACTCAACTATTTATATAGTCAATGGAAATGTTTGCTGTAGGTATTAATATAGACTATATTTAGTATAATTTAGCACATTTTATATAATTTAGAATATATTTAAATACAATATTTAATTGAAATACCAGGATTTCAAGTTGTATATACAGTATAACTATATAAAAACTCTTTTTTAAATGGAAAGAAATGTTTATTGTTCCTCTTCTTTCTATTGTCTGAACTGTATTTTCAATTCTTTATGAGTATACTTTATAAATGAGTATTACAGTACACCCCCCACAAAGAAGTCCACATCCTGATCCCCTGACCTTATGAATATGTTACCTTATGTGGCAAAGGGACTTTGCAGATGGAATTAAGTTAAAATGGGGAGAGTATCCTGGGCTATCTAAGTGGGCCCAATGTAATTACAACGGTCCTTTTAAAAGAAAGACCGGAGACTCAGAGTCAGAAAAGAGGTGGTGATGGAAGCAAAAATCAGGGTAATGTGTCCAGGAGCCAAGGAATGCAAGCAGTCTGTAAAAGTTGGAAATGGTCTAGGCACAGTAGCTTGTGCCTGTAATCCCAGCACTTTGGGAGGCTGAGGCGGGTGGACTGCTTGAGGCCAGCCTGGGCAACACAGCAAGAACCTATCTCCACAAAAAATAAAAAACAAAATTAGCCAGATATAGTGGCGTGTGCTTGTAGTCATAGCTACATAAGAGGCCGAGGCAGAAGGACTGCTTGAGCCCAGGAGTTCAAAGTTGCAGTGAGCTATATTGCACCACTGCACTCTGGCCCAGGCAACAGAGGGAGACCCTGTCTCAAAACAAAACAAAGTTGGAAAAGACAAGGAGCGGATTCTCCCCTAGAGCCCCCAGCAGGAACACAGCCTTTGATTTCAGCCCCAAAAGACCCATTTTGGACTTGGACGTCCAGAACTGTAAGCTAATAAACTTCAGTTGTTTTAAGCCATGACATTTATGGTAGTTTGTTACAACAGCAATAGGAAACTAATATAAGACCCGAAGAGGTAAAGTCCAAAGTACCTGTAGGAGCTGAGACCAGTTCTCATTTCCCTCCTGCTGTAGACTTGGGTACCCCAAAGCCCAGAGCTGCCCCATAAAGGGAGAAGAGACAGCTCCACTGTGTGTGTCCACCCCTCTAGGGCTGGGGACTGGTTAAACCTCTGGCAGCCCCAGCTGTTGAGCCTTCCCGCCTTCCCCTTTTCCTCTAGAGTCTCCTTCCTAGGGATTACAGTGTGGTGTACAGATAAGAGCAGAGGAACTGACTTGAATATAAGAGCATTTTCCTTTGGAACACTCCACTCCCCAGCCATCAAGGTTTTTATAGCAAATCACCATCCATAGCAACAAGATCAAAAATTCTAAACAGGCAGAAGCTAACAATAAATATCTAAAACGATTATGTGTTGAATGACAGTGGTGAGAAGAAACAAAAAATTAAACTAAAACCAGAAGGTGAGTTCTACCACTTTTTAAAGTGACTGCAATCACAAATACCCATCATCCAGGGGAAGAACTGGGGTTCTTTGGCTTTTGGTTTTTAAAGTGGAGGGAACATTAGCAGAACCTGTTAGGAAATTAATTATTTTATATTGTTGGTTCTCCAGACCAGCAGTATCAGCATCATCTGAGAACATTATTAAAATGCACATTCTCAGGCTCCACCCAACACCTACTGAATGAGGAGCTCTGGGTTGGGGCCCAGCCATGTGCTCTAACAAGCTCTCCAGGTGACTCTCATGCACACCAGTTTGAGAACCACTGTGCTACAGGAAATCCAAATGCTGCTAAAACGTTTGCCTGTTTTCTATCAAACCGAAAAAATAACAGTTTCCCAGTATGTAGGTTAACAGCCAGTTTGGGCCCAAACTGGCAAAAAAAAAAAAAAAAAAAAAAAAAAAAAAAAAAAAACAGAGTTTGGGGCCAGATTGGCAAGAGAACTGAAGTAAATTACTGAGGGGAAACGGCCTCTTTACAACTTTTTTCTTACGGATGTGTGATATAAATAGTATGCTTGCTGTGCAAACACATCCCCAATCCCTCCTTCCAACCCCATTGCTGCCCCTTACCCTCTCCTACAAAAAAAATTCCGAATCCTTCTGTTTCTCAGTCCAGACTCCAGCTTTTTTCCTGGTCTTTCTCAAGTCATCCAAACCTCCTCCCAACCGCCACAAAGCTGCCCACCTACTATGCAAATCTAAACCCTTGTCATTCCCTCCCTTCAGACAATCCTAAAGCTCCCTCCAGAATGAAATTTCGTGTCAGAACTGTCTACTGGAACCCCTGGAAGCAAATAAATTGCCTTCCTCTAGCCTGAGAAACGTTCATTTGTCTCCTCTCCACTCTTGTGACAGCACCAAGAAGCTGTTCCCGTAGCTTAGGGTTCCCTCGGCTCCGACTCGCCCCGCGAAGCTGCTCGGCGAAGCGGAGACTGGTGGAAGGCTGTAGTCTGGAAGGTTTAGACTGAGCTGGAGGGACACCATGTGGCCATACCCAGTATGACACGTCAGGCCAGGTGGCTTCTGTTGTTTCTGTGGTGTTTTTGTAAAGACCGTGAAACATGATGTTTAGGGTATTTTTGAGGATAAAAAAAGAGCAAAAGTTTACTCACAATTATGCTAACAAGATTATTGTTATTTCCGTTTCTTCTATTAAACATTTTCTGACAATTACAAACACAACACCGCCACCCCAAGGAGCACCCCTTTCTTTTCAATGGAAATCTGATCAGCATTTTCCATGTTCATTCAAGGTTTTTGCAATCATTCTCTTCAGTGATAGATAACAATAGACCCTTGATACAAGCTGGTGTAATGAAATGGAATGAAGGAGCATTCAATTGTAGAGGGATGTTCAAGGTAGAGGGGAACAGGGAAGTGAACCATTAATTCTGCCTGGACAGTCAGGGAAGACTTCTGAGAGGAGATGTCATTCAGGTGAGGTGATTGAAGGAGGATCAGGTTATAGGCTGGATCCATTAAAAAGGTGTTTATTCTGGCACAGCTGAACACAATAAAGCCTGAACCAGGACAGAGCCCTGGGATCTAGTGGAGGGGAGGGATGCATCAGAAGTCTCTGGGGAGCAGGTTAAAACACAGATTTCCAGGCTTTACCCAGAGACCCAGATCTTGTAGGTCTAAGGAGGGGCCCAGGAATCTGAAAATTTAGCAAGACCTCCCCACAGGGTGCTACTGCTGCAGGTAATCCTCATGCCCACCACCATCATTAAGCCCACAATCATCCTTGCCACCCCTCCTTCTTACGGCCTCTGTGGCCTCTGCCTGGAAAGTTCTTCCCATTCTGCTCTGGCTTGGCAAATGCCTTCTCCTTCAAGACCCAGCAGTGCAAATGCTCATAGGTAAACCCTTTCCGACTGCGTGCTTTGTGCTTTCCACCACATTATTACTTTATAAAGAAAGACTATTTAATTACATTCTTTAAAAAAAAAAAAAAACCCTAGGGTAGGTCTCCTAATAAACCCCATTTTACAGACGAGGAAACGGAGGCAAAGTGCACCTGAGTAACTGGCCCATTACCCATACTGCTCAGATGTATGTTTTCTTTTTTGAGACGGGGTCTCACTGTCGCCCAGGCTGGAGTGCAGTGGTTCGATCATAGTCCACTGCAGTCTTGAACTCCTGGGTTCAAGTGATTCTCTCACCTCGGCCTCCCAAGTAGCTGGGACTACAGATGAATACCACCACAGCCAACTAATTTTTTTATTTTTTGTAGAGACAGGATTTCATTATGTTTCCCAAGCCGGCCTCAAACTCTTGGCTTCAAGCAATGCTCCTGCCATAGCCTCCCAAAATACTAGGATTACAGGTGTGAGCCACCACGCCCAGCCTGGGATGTATATTTTCTACGTCGTCCGACAAGACTACTCACAGCATGAGGCTGACGCTAATGGTTGTCTCTTTGGCCCTGGAGCCTAGGGCAGTGCCGACATTGTAGTTGCTTTGTAAATATTTGTCCAACAAATTTTAAAAACAAATACTGCCTCCTTCCATCGTGACCCTCAGCCAGTGCCTAGACAACAAATCTGCCCTCTCCTTCTGCTCTCTTCCTTCTCTCCTTCACCCCCACTGCTTCCCCCTCCTCCTCCTCTCCCTCCTCCCACACCTTTCCTACTCTCCTTCCCCCACCACCATCTCCTTCTCCTCCTCCTCTTCTTTCCCCCAACCACTACCTCCTTCCCCTCCTTCCTGCCCCGCCCCGCGCTCTCCTTTCAAGGGGCCTGGGACCCCTTTCCTCCTGTTCTGTCACCTGGAAGTACTCAGCAGCCCCTGAGGCCAGCCCTAGCCTGCTATTGACCAAGCGACCGGAGTACCAAGGAACGCACTGTTCCTGTTTGTTGAGCCTTTTTATTTGGCAAATCATGGAGAGAGCTCTCTCAGCTTCCAGACTTGCCTCTTCAAAGCCTCCTCTTTGCTGAGGCTGCCTCCAAGCCTCTCCCTCACAGCTGCTCTCCGCCTTCCTCTCTCACTCCGGGTCAGTTTCTGGATCCCTCCTTCCTTTCTGCTCCGGTCCCTGCGTTCTCCCCATCCCTCCCCTGTCCCCTTGGCCTCCCTCCCACTTTCTCTTCGGGTGTCGCTCCCTCCTTTCTTCTCTCCTTCCCCTTTCCTCCCGCTCCTCTATCCTCCCCCCAGCCCCACTGGCTCTTTAG